GTTTTGAGGAAGTTTTAGAAGATGAGTAGTCACTTCTGCTATTAGATGTCATCTCTAGATTCTCTACTCTTCCAGATAGCATTTCACCTCCTCCTCCAGTTCAAGAAATCTTTGTACCTGTGGAAGAGCCACAACCTGTTAAAAGATCCTCTAGAGTCAGAAGATCTGCCATACCTGATGACTATGAGGTCTATCTTCAGGAAAGTGGATGCATTGATCCAGAATCTGATGATCCCTCATCATACTCAGGAGCTAGAGATAGCATTCATGCAGCTGATTGGCTGAAGGCTATGGAAGAAGAGCTTCATTAAATGGAAAAGAACTCTGTTTGGGAGTTGGTACCTTTGCCGAACAAAGCTAGAGCGATGGAATGCAAATGGGTCTTCAATATCAAAAGGGAATCTGAAGGAAACATTGTGAGATTCAAGGCCAGGATAGTGGCCAAGGGTTTCAAGCAGAGAGAAAGAATTGACTACGTTGACACTTTTTCTCTAGTGTCTAAGAAAGATTCTCTCAGGATAGTTCTTGCTCTCATCACCCATTTTGATTTTGAGCTTCATCAGATGGATGTCAAGACGATATTCTTGAATGGAGATCTGAATGAGGAAATCTTTATGGTTCAGCCTGAAGGATTTGCAGTTAAGGGAGATCTGGTCTGCAGATTGAAAAAGTCAATATATGGTCTCAAATAGGCTTCCGGATAGTGATACTTAAAATTTCATTAAGTGATAACATCAAATGGCTTCCGATAGAATCCTGTCAATCGTTGCATATACCTCAAAATCAATGGGAGCCGATTCCTCATTCTAGTATTGTATGTAGATGATATATTGCTTGCCAGTAGTGATATTCATCTTCTACATGAGACTAAGGATTTTCTTTCAAGGCATTTCAATATGAAAGACCTTGGAAATGTTCATTATGTTTTGGGCATCAAGATCCATAGAGATCGTACAAAAGGCTTGTTGGGCTTATCTTAAAGGGCTTATATTGAGAAAGTCCTTCAGCGATATAGCATGAAGATTTGTGCACCAAGTGAAGCCCCAGTTGTCAAAGGAGATATGTTCAACAAATCTCAATACTCGCGAAATGAAGTTGAGTGTAGGCTCATGAACTCTGAGGAGTATGTCTCTGCAGTTGGCAGTCTAATGTATGGGTGTCATGCATCAGGCCAAACATCAGTTATATTGTGGGATATTAGGTAGGTTTCAGCAAAATCCTGGTGTAGCTCATTGGAAAGCTATAAAGAAGTCTTTGCGGTATTTGCAGAGGACCGAGGATTTCATGTTGCTCTATAAAAGGTCTAAAAATCTAGAAGTCGTCGATTATTCAGATTCAAATTTCACAGGATGTGCTGATAGTAGAAAATCAACATCAGGTTATATATTTCTACTTGCTGGAGGAGCAGTTTCCTAGAAAAGTGTCAAGCAGTCCTTAGTGACAACATCCACTATGGAGGCAGAGTATGTTGCTGTTTTTGAAGCAACATTGCACGCCTCTTGGCTCAAGAATTTCATCAGTGAACTAAAGATCATGGATTCCATTCAAAGACAAGTAAAGTTGTATTGTGACAATCAGGCAGTCATACAGTTTGTAAAGAACAAGAACTTTCAGGAATAAGCACATCGATGTGAAGTACTTGTTAGTCCTTGATAAGGTCGAATAAGGATTGATCGTGGTTCCTCATCTGCCGACTCAGTTAATGATTGTTGATCCCTTGACCAAGGTAATTTCTTCAGTGCTCTTCAAGGAACATGTCTCTAGTATGGGTGTTTTAGAGTCTTTCGATTCTATATGATCAGTGAGATTTAGTTGTCGTAGTAGTTTTATTTTATTTTCAAGTACTATATTCTGAATTGCTTTGAGATCATAAAGAAACTATTGTGCTGATTTTGTTAGCAATTTGATATTTTCAAGCATTATGTTATTGGTCATTGTTGCTTGATATATATATATCTTTAAAGTAAAGAGTTTCAAGTTAATCGTAAAGAAACTTGAAGTAATATATATATATACATATCCGCCACACACACACACACATACACACATAGGGAAGAAAGATTGACTAAATAGGTTTGGAGTTAGGTTTTAAAATGGCTTAAGCTGTTATTTGGTTTAAGTTAATGGATTTAAGGCATACTTGGCTAATACTTATTTCATGATTACTTGTAAGTTAGTAACTTACAAGTAATCATGAAATAAGTATTAGCCAAGTATGCCTTAAATCCATTAACTTAAACCAAATATCAGCTTAAGCCATTTTAAAACCTAACTCCAAACCTATTTAGTCAATCTTTCTTCCCTACAACGTTCTTCCCTACAACTACCTCTTCATCCAAACTATGTGGCTACTTTCTCCGTGAAACCTACAAAAACCCTTTCATGTCTCCTCAAGCATCATATTATTCTTAATTGATGAGGGATTTCTAAATCCTAAGAATATTAGGAGTATACAGATGTTTATTTGTAATCCTTACAGATCGATCCACAGAAAAAATAGAGTATTAAAATCTTCTTTAATCAGGTCATCGAGAAAAGAGTTGAGAGATTTGGTTATTGGTTGGTGTCTAGAATTATTTATGAACTAACTAAGCACTTATGATAAAAACCCACTAGGTTGATTGCTACTTAGATATCTAATGCTTCTCTTTTTAATGTTGTTTACATAGATCTAAAAAGCACAGCCTATGCCAATATTTAAATGTCTATAACCTATCAATTTAAAATCTAGCGAATTAACAATTATCTTATTCAATTGGATCTAAAAAGCATAGGCTATGTTATATTGAATGTTTATATCCTACCAATCTAAATCTCATAAATTATAGATTTCATGAATAATTACTCTTAACTAAATGATAACCCTAGAAATAATCAACTAAGCATAGACTATGCGATATTTAAATATCTATAACTTATAAAAGTCTATTTATTCTATTGACTATTAATAGCCTAGACTAATTAAAACATGAAAAAATTAAGCTCAAGAAGAAGAATCAATAATCTAAGTAAAAACTACTCTAGGATCATCATCCTAAGCAATCTAAACTAAATAGCTATGCATGAAAGAAAAAATAATAGAAAAAAGAGAAAAGATTGCATTCAAATTTTTTTTACTATTAAGCAAAACTTACAGAAAATAAGTTCTACAATGAAGATGTTGTTCTTTCAGATAGTCAAGGCTCTAATTATTTACGAGATCAATTGATGAATTGATAATAAACAACAGAGATTCTGGGTACTATTTATAATATACTCGAGGTAGAACAGGAATCCCTTAGGACTTGACTTAATCTCCGAGTAATTAAATATTCATTTCCCAACCTAAACAAGACTCTAAATGTTGATTAATTTTGGATTTCTACAGAAAACGAGTAATACAAATAAAATTTCAAGAATTTGCCAAACTGGATGGCTCTGTCTAATCGAGATAGGTGATTTCATACATAATATGTTAGATATTGATGTATAGTAAGAGATATATCCCCTTTTTTAGGATCAACAATACTGAATATGAATTTGACTTTGCCTTCTTTTTCTTGGCTTCCAAGTGATTGAATGTTGTCTTTTTTTTTCTTGATTCCCTAACTTAGGCTTTTTAGACAAGCTTCTTTTGGGCCCTTCTTCATTTAAAATCTATTTCCCTGTAAATATACTATGGGGCTTTTTGGTTGTGGATTAATCTTGATGCATATAATTATTTTTGAAAAATCCACAATTAAAGTATGTTTGTTTGTGAAGAATATTAAAGAGGATTTGTATGAGGGTTAAAATCCAATTAAAGTTTATTTGGTTGTACATGAATTTTGTTGATGATATGTGACTTAATTCACAAATCTAGCTGAAATTAGCATAATTTTAGAAAATTATATTTGGTACATTTATCCTACGTTGCAACCATAGATCCATGTGTAAAAAATAATAAACAAACAATAATATACTTACTAAAAATCCATGTTTTTAACTTGTGGGTCCCTGTGTTTAATTCGTGGATGCAAAATGCATGGAAGCAAATTGCCTCTAGAAAATATCAAGTAACAATTAAATGGTACAAAACAAAGATAAATAGGAATATAAAAAACGATATAAAATGTATTAACCATTAATCTAATCAAGTTTAAGCTATTGAGTCATGCTCTCATGTTGTCAAGTAACTTTGTTAATGGAGTTTCTAAATTTGGGGCTAACAAAAAAATCAATTGGGAAATGAGGGGGGTGTTCTAGCATTAAAGGAGGGTAAATTTATATATTTACTACTAACCCAATCATGGTTACTATCTAACACAGATTTTGTGATAGGAGGACTTATATCAACACTCTTAAAGGATTTGGTGAACTAATATTAAATTTCAATGATTTGAGGCATTATAATATCAAAATATGCACGATTTAAGGGACTAATATCGAAAAACCCCATTATAACGTAGAGAAAGTGGAAATCATGTCAGTTACCATCTCAAATACTCCGCCTTTTAAGTTTTTTATCGTTCAAAAAACATGTTAAAAAAGGAAACGTCTTCTTCTCTTATAAATTTCAAGTTGTTTTTTTTTTGCTTTAAAAAAAAATCAAGTCGTTAAAAAAATCTTTTTCAGAAAACAAAAGGCACGGATTAGCTCTTGAAAACTGATCTATGGGCCTAAAGGAAAATTATTTACACAGGCGGAACCTTTCTACGGCCCAGCCTCTGAAAGGGCCATTTGAGCTGTAGTACTGAGCTATAAAGGTTTAATTATTGTGCCCATTTTATTACCCAAAAAAAAAATATCCATTTTAACTGGAAAGTTTGGTCGAGTTTAGATTTAGTTTTACGCTAATCTACGGGCTTTAAATAACAAGGCCCACTTTAACTGACACTCTCCAACTCACTATTTTCTCGTCTAGACCCAGGAAAAGCGTCACTCAAAACCCCAAAAGAAAAAGAAAAAGAAAAAGGAAAAAAAAAAGTTCAGCAATGGCGACGACAAGGCATCGCCGG